AAGCATAGCCCCCCGCTGTTGCTGCTGGATATATCCTTGCCGCTGTTGTCTTAAATGGGTAAGCTGTGAACCGTCAGTCATTTCCGTCACCAGCGTTATACTCGCGGTTGATGTGGCATAGTGCCGTCAGCACAAAGACTTCACCGAACCGGATAGTGTATTGACCAGATATCTAGTCACATGAAACAGGTAGGACAACCGACAATGGTTCCATGGTGAAAGCGTACAAGAAAAATGTGTACACGGGAAATTGCGTACACAGAAAAATGCGCACACAGAAATTTCACCCTCAGAGATTGGCGCAGACAGTAAATGCTAGCACGAAAATACACCACTTCGATCGCTTTGCACAAACACGAATGCCCTAGGTGCCAAAGCCCCCATGATTCATTCAGGACAGAACAGCTCGCCTACTGCAGTTTGCCGAAGCCTCAGCGATTCGGTGACTCTAACGCACTTGATGTGGCCAGACCGAGTTCGTGAGCAATTTATGGCAGCAGACTCGAAGAGCAGTCCAGCGGAACGGAATTATGCCTGGAGCGCTTTTATTGTGCGTATGCAAGTGTCCCCTATATAGTGACACCGATGAACCGTGCTGCTAGGGAAGCTGGAATAGCAGCGGGTATCGCAGATGTGCGAAGGATCCGACCGTGGGCGTTTTTGGCTTACCATAATAACGGGAACTGACAGTCCACATTTCGAATCGGTCGTCTAAGTGTGCAACGGATGAAGTAAGTTCGAGTACCACTGTACACATCGTCCTCTAACAAACCGAGTACATCTGCAGACTGCTGCGAATTTTCAGTTCAAGCGTTTATCTGGGTGGGAAATTTACTATGTGGGCATCCTCCCATGTGCAGTACCACTGTGAGAAAATGGCTATCGGTCATTTGACGCGGTCACCAACCTGATCAAGCCAAAACTAGGCTAGCCACGAATTTTTCTGGTCACACCAAGTGCGTTGGAGGCTTTGAAACGCTGTGGCTTCGGCAAAATGCTGTAGGCGAGCAGTACTCTATCTGTTGACTATTCTGAATGAGTTACGGGGATTTGGCACCTAGAACAGTCGTTTCTGTGCTAAACGATCGAACTGGTGTATTTCCGTGTTCGCCATCTACTACTACCTGGCACCGGAACAGCAACGCTTCCGACGAAATCGATCGTGCACTACCAAGCTACTAACTGGTAGCGCGATCCAGCTGGACTGAAGCTCTCCCAGAATCGGTCGTCTCTGCACCGACACCAACAATATTTAAAAGACGGTTGGACGATGCACTCATCCACTTACACTTCGTTACTTAACACTATGTCTCCATCCTACACCTGGAGTTTACCCTGGAATTATTTGTTGTTAACTGTGGGTGTTGTGAATCTAAGTGGATCGCAGGACTGCAGCGAAGGAAACGATAAGTCCTTATTTTCGTATTTAAAGTATTAACTATTTTACTATCCTTTTCATCATAATTGTTATGTTGACATCCCCACCAACTATCCAACGGGGCTTGTAAAGCAACGCTTCTTAACCCGTATAAATTCATTGTTCATTGTTCAGTAAACTCTAGCGCAGGAGTTGATGTAGTTTCTCTCGACTCCACAAAGGCGTTCGACCGGTTAGACCACAACATTCTGCTCTTCAAACTCCAGATCATTGCACTGCTGATCCTCTCTTGAGGTGGCTCAGAAGCTTTCTCCAACACTGTCGCTTGGAAGTACGAGTGCATGGATCTGTGTCAGATCCCATCTGATTTGAATGCAGAGTGCTACAGGGATTGGTAGTAGGACCGCGGTTATTTTTGACGCTTAGTAACGATATCACACGCCTCATAAGCTCGAACTGCCTGCTTTATGCCGATGGCATCAAGGTGTTGGGTGCGATCAATTCACCAGATGATACCCCAGTACTACAATCCGAACTGGATAGGGTATAGGCGTGGTCAATCCAGAATCCACCTCGATTCTATGTGGAAAAATCTAGAGTGCTACACGTACGGCACAAGTTGGTGCACTTCTACAAACGCGACAACCAGGAGCTGCAAACGTCTTCTGACGCAAAGAATCTGGGAGATTGTTCCAGGTCGACCTTGGGTGTCCGAATAAGGCTGAAACGACTTCAAGAAGAGGCATCCAACACGTGATCCTCCTGAAGCGTTGATTCGGACAATTTGACCCTTTGATTCTTCCACAGCTTCTTGGATCGTACCTGCGTCCACATGTGGGATACGCAGCCATGTCTGAGGCGAGATCTCACCGCCTTGGAGATGCACCAACTCCGGGCAACCAAGAATATCTAAGCTTTGTATAATTTGCTGTATGAACATAGGCTTCAAGTGCTCGGGGTCTACAGCGGACAGTACCGACCAATGCGCGGGGACCTCCTATTGACATACCAAATTTTGAGAGATCCTAGGCCACATGTCGTCATTTGTTAGAGCTCAGTCACAACAGTAATTTGAGAGGCTACCATCTGAAGCTTGCAGAGCAGCACGGTTGTTCGAAAACCGTCGGATTTTCTTTTCCGTACGCGTTTACAAAACGTGGGATGCCCTACTGGAGTCTGTAATGCGTGCTCCCACGCTGGTAGAGTTTAAAGCACACACTTCGCTGCACCACCTCACATGACTCATTACCAATGGATGAAACAAGTGCTTGTGAGAGATTTCCCTGGTGGTCAAATCCCAGATCTCGTTCCACATTTTTGTCTCCCGTAGGTGTGCACCCGTAGGAGCCACGATTTTAAACAACTTCCATTTTTCATCACTCTTTATGAATTCACCTTGGAGTTGCAGCGATACTAAGTGTACCTTAGTGAGGCACCGATATAAAACCAATTTTGCTAACATTTGTTTTTATATTTTGAAGTTCAACCACGACCATCCTACCGGACCTGTTAAGATTTAGCTTTTAACCCGTATAAAACCATTGTTCCATTCTTCTGTACTGTATGCTATGGTGCTGTCATATTCTTGCTAGTACATCAGTAGGTTAAAAATAATAGGAAGTAACATTATCGGGTGGCAACTTGCAAGGCTGGTGTGACATCTCTGTAGTGAGGAGGAGTGAGGATCACCCGTTTCCGTATTGGTGGAAGTTTGTTCTTCTCTAGTCAGCGCCCAAACCAAAAGCAACAACGCCTTCCCCGGCGGCAAACGTATGCGACTATAGGATGATACTTTCGAGGAGGGTGAGGTGTAAGGACTAGAACTACCAAATCCGAGGAAAATTTCACTGTCCGTGAACCAAGGTGAGTTGGCGCCACTGATGCAAGCCGAATCTTGTAACTTGCGTGGCAAAGCAGATGATCACACAGCTCAAAGTCAAATGTACACAGAAACGTAACAAACTGACTTGTTTAGGATGGGAAGTGTGCAATTTTCCAAAAGCAACTGTATGCGTTGTAGCAGAATCGCCTCAGTTATAATCAAGCTAATGTTTTTCCGTGTTTCAGAACATTGGTTACTGTCGTTTGTTTCACACCACTCACACGTCCCTTAATTCTTCGAGACATAAAGTACAATGAGCACATAACTGATTTGTTCGGTATCGCTGTGTTTTCAACCAGTGTCGGCCCGTTTAGTGTTCTCCAATACACCACCTGTCCGGTGGCTCGACTTTTGGCTCTCGAAGCATATCATAGGAAGTTGCTAAGTCGTAACCCTGAGGATACACCAGAAACCGGAAATTTATTCCTCTTGGATAAATGAAATTGTTTCCCGTCAACAAAATGAGTCAGTTCAAGTGGTATTTATTTCGAGCAAAATGTATTTGAGTTAGGATAAGTGCATTCAAATTCTAAGGTAAAATACCGCGACAACTTTACTACCAACCTAATACTTTCAGGCAGTGGTTCCTGTGCTGAGAGAGCGCCGGTACAGGAATTATGTCGGGTCCTTGGAATAGAGAAGGTTAAGACGTTATCATGTCAACGCAAAGATAACGGGCAATTCGGACAGCAAAGTACCCTTTCAAATTATGAATGCATGCTTTGTTCAAGGGTCAACTTGCATACGGATACACAGTTACCGCATTAACTGGACAAGCGTCATGCCTTATGTAGACGAGATGAGTCACGATTTCCCTCGGCTTTACGCCTCCCTATAACGTATCTGTTACAGTCATCAGTAACAGACTATGCCAGCACGCTGCTAGAAACACCTGGACAAACGCATCAGGCGGTACGAGTACACCTGGGAACTATCCATCGGCATCGAAAGGAGTTCGATGATAAGGTCTTCGCTTTCTCCCTAAGAGTTGGTGAATTTGTATGGAAATCATAGACCTGCAGTTTGGGGCAATGGTGTGACAGAGCAATTGTCTAGTTGCGTTGATCAAGTCACAGTCTTGCCACAGAAGATGGTAACTTGTAATTGTTTATTATTTGAAACATGATTTCCCCCTTATAGTCTGGGTGTTTGAATCAATGAAACCATTGCAAAGTGGCTCCGCAAACCGATGGAAAATGCGACGATCGTACGCCGTGAATGGAGAAGCAAAGTTGCCTCTGCAGTTACAAGGCATTTGATGAGCACCGATCACCAAGTAAACCCGGATGAGTCATTCACAATCCTCATGCGCAGTCAAAGGCCTCACGTACTCAAGCTATTCGAGGCCATTGTTATCGATTGACAGCCTCCACTGCTGTGGGCTCAGAAACAGCTGACATGGACATTAAACCGACCGTGGTGGCGGGCAACGCACCAATCGGAAAATGAGTGATCAATATTTGATTTCATGTGACGTTGTTTTGCATTCCTTGTTAGTTGCCTGTATGTGCTTTACGAGTATGCAAGAAATGACAATGTCATCCACAATCTTTTATTAGGTCTACCGTATAAGTCGCGCTGCACCGAGGGTCACTTCGCCAAGGAAGTAAATCAGTTATCCACGATTCACCACGTGTATTTTTCAATTAGTCGTAACAACCATGAAAAAATAGATGCAAAATCTTTTCTCTTCTGTACAGCTTGCGTGCCGAAGATGTGAGGATATTTATGTCACCGTGCCTAGACCATCGGTCGTCTAGTGTCGCCTTCATCGGGTGCAGATACCGTAGGGTTTACTTTACGTCGTCCCCGATTGACATGGGGGCTTGGAATAAGTGCAAGTTTCACACTTTTTCGATGCACGGTTTTGCAGTACACATAACGCCCAATGCGTGCAGCGACGATGCTTACCAAGCATGCACCAACTAACACAATGAGTAAGGTGGAGAGTTTGGAAATTCCAGTTCGCTCAATCGGCGGAACAGTGACGTTTGAGAAGAGTGATTCAAGGTTGATATGACGGAAAATTTTGCCTGCAAAATAGCGAAAAGGAATAGAAGAATTAAGCACGGAAAATGAAACTATTTCTTGATTAATGGGGAAGAATTCTTGCTCCGGTCTTTTGACTAAATGTTGTATATCTACACAAGCTGGTTTGAATAATGGTTCCATCACTATAAACACATAATCAATTGGCAATTGACCCGAATCGGAGACGCATGGTTTCGGTTGTGCCATCACTTTCTACCAAAAAAATGCAAGTTGTCATCAAACTCGTACACATCGTGGTATAACGCAGCCATGTCTATGAAAAATCGAAAACCATCCATCATAGTTATTATCAGAATGAAGGAGTGAAGCACAGCCCCATGTCCAAAAAGTGAAAGCACCCTGCTAAGACGACAGTACCATGGTCAGGGGAAGAAAGACCGGGTGATCAAGGTTGTTTCATTTGCTGGCATGAACGACGTATCAGTTGCGCGCAACTTGTATTACCAAACAGCTGATGTATTGCACGTGGAGAGTGTCACTTCAAATGGATTCTTACCTCACTGCGATCAGCTTGTCGACTATGTCTAAAAGTGGACAACAGGGAATATGGTGAGGCAGCCATTGCCTAGAAATGACAGAAAGCGCTATTCAGTGTGTTTAGAAAATAGCCAAATGACAGTACGATTTTAAGAAACTTACACAAATGTTTGTGAAAAATGTGTGCACTCAAATTTCTGTCATCGGACTGGCAAGCGCAACAGAGGCTCGTGCCGCATCGTTATCGGTTCACGCTTCGTTATGCCTCCCTAGTCCCGAGTTTCCACTCCGCACGGATCCGAATCAAAGGAAGAGGATGGAAATCCGCGGAACACTCATATCCTATTTCTCAAATCCTAGTAATCTGGACACTTGTACTGTGTTGCTCAGTGGTGATTTAGCTCTTGTAGACTGACAACCGTAATGTGAATCAGTAACAGGGATAAATTTCTCTTTGTAAGTCCCAACGGTCGATTAACATAAGCCAAATCGTCATTAGTAAAATCATCATCAATCCCACATCCGTCATTATCTCGTCTTCCATCACTTATTTGCTCAACAGGTTGTTACGTGAGGGTGCATTTCTGAGCGACTGAAAATGCTCGGTAATGAAGGCGATTCAGAAAGGGCGGTGACTTGAGCCTGGTGGACAACCATCAGCCAATTTGTCTGATCTCTGTTTTGGCCAAGATGCTCGAGAAGATCATGCAGAAGGGTTTGCTGCAGCTGATGGAGTCAAAAAGTGTTGTGGTGCCCACAAAGCAAGGCCTCATGAAAGGTCGCCTATGAATCACCAACTTGATTGTGAGGCGGCATGAATGGCTGCAAACGCTGAACTAGGGGAAGTCACTTGAGATGAACCACATTGATTACAGTAAAGCGTTCGACAAAGTGAACAGGTAGTGCTCATCAACAAGCTGGGAATGTGCGTGCTGGTGGTTCACAGCATCAGTGGATTAGCGACCCTTGTTGGGCGGAGTCGGGGGGCACAGGTGGATGAGCATCTAACTGACTGTTATCCTTCCACTAGTGGCATGGCCAAGATCCAGTACTAGGGCCCAATTAGTTCCTGACTCGCATCAATGAAATATCTCGGCTGCTTCCGTTGCCGTGTCATTGATTGCAGATGAGCTGAAGGTTTGGAGAATAAGCCAGGTTCCCGACGACTGCGATGCAGCTCAGTATGACCTAGAGCACCTATCGATGTGGTCTGCAGACGTCGAGCTGTGAGTCAACCCAGAGGAGTCGTTATTTATGGGCATAGAGAAAGTTGGTGATGGGTGTTGGTGACCGACCAACCGGTACATCTCACACTTTCCGTGAAGGACCTAGCACTACTCGCACGTTGCGATTTGGAGTCGGTGGAAAACACGAACAGTCAACATGGAAACGGATTGTGCATGCTTTGGGCACGCAAACGCAGCTACTGCAGTTGGTTTGAAGCGATTGCCTTAAATTTCCTTGCTTCCATCAGGAGTACGGCTCACGTGCCTATTATCCAATTATCCGTGGTGAGATGCAAAAGCAGGATTGTGATTAGCATGTGGCTATCGGACTCATCCCAAGTTTATAGGGTGTCATACAGAGACTGACGCAGGATACAGGGATTGTACACCCCATCGTATCGCCGGTATGAAATGGATCTCATAATGACGTGTGGGATATACATCTGGGCGACTTCGCTATACTGAGGCTGCTTCTGTACGTGCGCGCATCTAGCAATCCTCGCTGACATCGGTAAAAGCTTGTAGTGTCGGACGAGAAGCGACTAGCTTACCCTCTATACTTCGGGGGACGAAATATCGGAAAAAGTTTACCCTAGGTAATAGTCGAAGCGAACTAGGTGTCGGAATTCAAGAACTTCTTAGAAATTCACTTGGCGAACCACAGATTTTGCGAGTGCATCGCAAATGAATAGAACGTCGCGCAGCCGAACACATTTGACAGTACGCGGAAATAGAGGACCTTATTCCGCGCGCGTGCCCGATACCATATCAATGGAGCAACACATATGTAGTCCCTATAGCCCTTATATTAAACATTCACAACAACATCATCATCGTCATCGTCATAATCATCATCACCATCATCATCAGCAGCAGCAGCAGTAGCAGCAGCAGCAGCAGCAGCGACAGCAGCAGTAGCACTGGCTGTCCCTTATTAACTGGACTGTATCGTTGACTACAGTCCAATGCTTCGTGCTTTATCTCCAGTCGGGCCGATCCCCGCCTACGGTGCCTATGCCATCTCTCAATCGATTGCATCCTTAACGCATTCGCTTTCATCCGTAGTGCAGCAGCTTGCATCCTTAGCGCAAAATCTATAGTCCGCTACTTACGAAGACTGCATCGACAACGTCCTGTGTGGTCCACCGCTATCAGCCAATAGCATATGGATAATATGCCGGCATGGCTGGTTAACCTAGACCCAGCTGGGGCATAAAGACATCGGTTGATGCGTTTCTACATGGACCTCAACTATCCGCTCGTTTAGGTGCGCACCAGCATTCTACAATACGGGGTTGGAAGTAGGGCTTGCTCACGAACCGGCTCCAAACCCAAATCCCTAGGATGTGAAGGTAAGGCGAAGTCGACACAGTTCCAGTCGAACACATGCGTGGCAGTCAGTTGGTATTCAACATGTAACAACAGTTTATAATTTCCAAAGTTTTAGGACACAAACCGGTTTTTTATAGGCTTATGTTGTAACAACTTTGCATTGCAAGGCTTCTCATTCACCTGACTGGTCCCATAGTAAACGTGTTCTCCTCTGGCACAGTTTCCCGTCTTTCTCTTCACCTAGCGCAGTCATCATACACTCATTCGAATGGGATGAACCCCGTGTTCCCTGGGCATATTGTTACGGGAATATTCCTTACGGAAAGTGATTTGTGTGGCCCAAATTTTTTCAGGGCGATTCGCGCTTCGATCCAGACGCGCCGCTCTCTGATTTTTAACCGTTTTCACCGCTATGACACTGTGGTTGACCAAGGATTCTCCGCGCTGTCTGGTGGTCCTAGAATTACATCCATAGGATCATTTCTAGCTAGGCTACAAATCAAGCTGTGGTTTAACTGCATTCGCACATCACCGACACTTTTCGCTGTCATCCACCCAGTACAATTCACTTCCAATGGCTTTATCCTACAGGAACCAGTGTGGATCAATCAGCTAGCCAAACTCCGTATACGTGTGTCTTTGTCGTGCACACTCGCCTACAGTAACCGAGGTCTAGAGTGTGACTGGGACAAAGAACGCGAGCGTCACTCGCCCGCTACCTCACGTGACCAGACAAGGGCAGCATTCGTTTGTAACAACGGCCCTCAATGGAAGCGATTCCACCTAACCACAAATGTTGTAAGCAGAAGTGCACACGCCAAGTTAAACGAGACATTATTGGTGAATTTTGCGGCTTTCCGTTCCACCCCCTATACCCTGGTTTAAGTCAGTTACAGTACAAGAGACAAATCAACCTGCCAGATTCGCTCTGGTTTTGCCAAACATGCAGGGCAATCCCAGTAGTCACATGTGTAATATCCATCGTGAAAAGCTGCCTGCAACAGGCCAGCAGATGCAGAGCTTCAGGGCTTTGTCATTGGGACCTAACCACACGGATCTTGCTCTACAGCAAACCCCTCAGAGCTCTGTCTCTAAGTCGGAGACTAAACTCAGGCTTGCCAACAACCCGACGGCAACTGTGCCACCTACTCTGATAAGCAATCTCCAGCGTGTCTGCTATTAACTCATCCCTAAATGCCATATCTCACGAGTTCGTCACAATACCGACACCGACAGTCCAGAGCTGGGTAACATACGCATCGATTACCGCGATAAAAGCGTCTTAAGATACACTCGTACGTCCAGTTTCTGGACCAAGCACGAGAGATGCGACGCTCTTTTCATAACCTTCTTTAGTGCCCGCCAAACAGTTCGTTACTATCCACAACGTCCAAACCGACATTCAATAAACAGAATCACAGTGCGTTAACGGTCGTGTTCACCAATATTCCTGAGTCCACATCTGGCACAATAAAGGGAAGTTGATAGATGAGCGAACCCAGTGGCACTCCGTCTGCGATGTGACTGGTATTCGGGTGGACCCAAATGGGTTACGACGCGTAGCGCGTCACCCAAATTCAGCGCGCTACGGCGAACCCCGATTGCTTCAAGTAGCCTTGTATTCAACTGAGACAGAGATAGTCCTACTCCCAGCAGTCATCTTTGCCGCTCATTGAGCGGGACACGCATACTATCCGATATACCATGGAAAGAATGGTCAAAGAAAAAAGAAAACCATGGCAGCCCTTCTACGAACGGAAGCAAAAATACCGTATTTGCTCATGGTGTTCCTGAACTACTAGGATCTCCTGGGCACAAAGCGCAAATACGTGACCGCAAGCAGTGATGCTACATCCGCGAAGCACTCGCTCTGGACAACGTTATCGTTTAATCATTAACAAGCATTCCTTAATCTCCAACCTACAAGTGCTGCGGCCCAAAATATT